AAAGGACAGAAAACAACAAAAACTTTCATAACATTTACTTGTATAAGTTTTTAATTTTGACAAAGTCTGATTTATCCAGTTTATCTCTTTTCCCTCAGGGCCCTGATACCACGACCAAGCCAAAACCAAGACTTGGATGCTTAACCGACTGGGCCACCCAGGTGCCCCTTTGTGCCTCTATTTTTACAGATGTTATTATTGAGATATAACTCACATAACATGGAATTAACCATTTAGAAATGTACAATTCACTATCATTTTCATCACCCCAAAAAGAAATCCTGTGCCAGTTAGCCAATTACTCCCTCCTCCATTCTCTGGCAATTAGTCTACTTCTGTTTATGATTTACCTATTCTGGACATTCACATAAATGGAATAATACTGTGGACTTCTATGTCTGGCTTTTCACTTAGCATAATATTTTCAAGGCCCAACCATGTAGTAGCATATATCAGTACTTTATTCCTTTCTTTGATTGAAAATAATATTCCATTGCATGGGTATACCACAGTTTGTTTATCCATTCATTCATGGATTGGCCCTTGGTTGTTTCCACTTTTTGGTTATTGTGAATAGTGCTGCTGTAAACATCCGTGTGCAAATTTTTGTGTGAATGTACGCTTTCAGTTCTCTTGGTAATATACCTAGGAATGGGCTTCCTGGGTCATATGGTAATTTTATGTTTAATTCTTTGACTGCCAAACTGTTGTCCAAAGGGCTGCACCATTTTAATTTTTCACCAGTAATTTGTGAGGTTTCCAGTTTCTTACATCTGTCTAACGCTTCTTATTTTCTGTTGTTTTATTTGTTATAGGCGTCCTAGTGGGTGTGAAGTGGTAACTCCTTGATTTGCATTTCCCTAATGACTAATGAATCTTTTAATATGCATGTTGGCCATTTGTATATCTTTTTTGGAGAAATTTGTATTCAAATCCTTTGCAAATTTTTTAATTGGGTTTTTGTCTTTATTGTTAAGTTCTTTGTATATTCTGCATACAAGACTTGTCAGATATAATTTGCAAATATTTTTTACTGCGTTTTGGATTGTCTTCACTTTCTTGGTAGTGTCTGTGTAAGTTTTTTAATTTTTTGTGCATAATACCCTAATTTATGTAAAGGACAGAAAACAACAAAAACTTTCATAACATTTACTTGTATAAGTTTTTAATTTTGACA